GGAATGGCAATGGCAATGGGAATGAAATTGTTAGCAAAAGAAGGGAAGGAAAGGGGCGAGGGGCGGGTGGCTGATGCTGGAGGCCAATATCTGTGTTTACCGTGCCTCGACTAGACCCCTCTCTCCTCCCTCATACATCCTCACTCCCTCTTTCATCCACCGGGATCCGCAACAAACTTGAAGGATTTCTCAACCGGTCCCTTTTTTCCCTATATAACTCTACAAGCACTGGCCGATCTCTGGGGGCTATTATCACAAATTGGCGGATAGAGTTTTCAAGAGTCGTGATATCGTAAATCGCCAAGTGGCTCTCTCTGGTATCAGGTCAACATCTCAATACTTGTTGCCCCGTTGGCCACCTATGGACCGGTGTGTGTATATCACGGGAAATGATGAAGGGAATCATTCGGTCGGCTGTGGGGATGGCGTAGGGGGTAGGGGATCCAGTGGAATTCCGACTTTTCTATAAAATTCCCCTCCCCTCTTTCTGAAGACTAAATCATAGCCTCTCTCATGATTTAACGAGATAAACCACAGTGACCAGTCCAAATACCCGGAAGATTATACATCATAGCAACGAGACGATGTTTTATAGTTGCTTCAACAGGATAAGCATATGTATACAGGAGAGCTGGTGAAAAAGGAATAATAATGGTAGATTTGCTCACACTAGTTCTGCCTCCTTGGTGCATTCAATGACGCTCCAAATCATCACCAGTGCAACGTCACTTATAATCAACGCATGGGTATAAATTACTTATCAATGAGATACATATGCGTTAATGATCGGTAACAAATGGACATTTTTATATTATTTTATTTTGTTGGTGAATTGATGATGAACGATAGAATATTCATGGGATGGTGAAGGCAGTTACTGCCCTGAGTGTACGGTTATAATAATGGGGACATGCGCATAACGCTGTGTTACCGATAGCAATCAGTCGTATGGACTAATATCCTTCAAGGTTGTTATACGTTATAATGGGAATAATTGTATCCTGCTGGAGATTTCGAAATGTTTCAGGGGCTCTGGAACTGTCTGAGTGACTTTATCTCTCTACGAGCGTATCGTTCCACTCTTAATCGATGAATTTTTCCTCTCGCTGGATTTTTATCTTGGTAATGTGCACGTGATAGATTGAATTGCAATTTTAGGCTCCGATTTCTACTACATGCCGGTAGTCTGATACTTTACATCGCCGAACAGCATTATGGAGTGTGGACTATCCGATGATTACTCGAGGTTTCTGATAATTGCGATGAGATCATGGACTTTTTTCACAAACTACTGGTGCTAGGGAGTTTTCTCCGGTTCTGGGAAACAATGAAATTACATCGGGTTACGTGATTTTCTGGGGGAATATGTTTGGTCAACACGCGACGTGATTCTCAGGATTTTAGAACGAGTTTCTCAAGCCAACTGTTAGAAGAGTACTCTTGAATGAAGGGTATTGGTGGTAGGGGTTTCAGAATGATTCGTTGTGCTGGAGAAAAAATTATTTCAGCAGAGGAGAAAGTACTTGTAGCTGCTACCAAGAAGTTTCTAAGGACGATGCAATTTGTGTATTTTCTCAAAGTATAACAGAGCAATTGTAGAAAATTAGTGCTGAATGTTGGTGCCAACCAAAAACAATCCCTCGACACCTGAAAATGCCAAAAATATATCTCGATCGAGCGCTGATAAACGAGTTGGAGAAATCGAGAAAATGTGCGAATTCTCCGGGAATTCTTTTCACACCATCTAATCCACAAGGTTAGCGTGTACCCAGGATTTAGCTTCTTTCCCGTGTACATTACTGAAGCTACAAATCTCGCTATTGTTGAGTACAGGAGAGTGGTGTGAGTGGTTGAGGTTAAACTGAAGGTAGAGAGAGAAAAGACGAAACCCACACGCGTGACGCCCACGACGAACTTGGCTAACACGAACCCATAAGAGCCCAACGACTCTTGTACGTCATGGATGACATCTCAAAGGTCGCATCTTTTGTGACTGTGTATGCCCGAAATATGTCCAGTGCACTCGCTCTTGATTGTATAAAATGGCCGTGAGAGGAGAGCCCTGGCCAATGTACGACATATAAATAATAATAATAAAAATAATGTATACACGGACAAAGGGAGGTAAAGTAAAGAATAAAGATAAAAATAAAAAAAAAATGAGGAAAAAGAAGTATGTAGAAATCAAGGTGGCATGAACTTGGGCATATATTCGGCGGGTATTCCGGTTATAACGGTAAATGAAATGTATTCCTTCACGGAAGCAAGCGTGAATTCATTACTTATATCTCTCCAAGTCCACCTTCTTCTTTTTACCTCGGTTATTGCCTCGTGATTCAATTCACCATTCAACTACCCACCCCCTACCGCTTCTCCCACTCTGTCGATTTATCGATGTGGATCGATAACGATCGAGTGCGAACGAGAGTTGGTGTCCACTTCATTAGTGCCCTGATCGCCGAATGCGTGCCACAAAGAGACGTTAAATCAGATATTGACAGGTTCTAGATGGTGGATATGATCTACCAGCTGAATGCTCTATGAGTAATATTTAGATTGGAGGTCAGATTAATTCAGTGATTACAAAAGCTGCTGTGTGTGCCTCCACGTTCCGTTACATACACCCGCGAGTCTGCGTGTCACGTTTTATCGTAAAAAGAGAGACCCGCGAGATAGTTGTACCCGAGAAATGCGTAATACACCCCTTGACGATCATAAATATTTATTCGTTATTCATATTGCTTTTGGAGTCAGCGAGGGCTCGCGGGGTAATTCTATGTTTATAAAGTGCAAGCTCGTTTGTGCAGTTAATCTTTTGAGAACTTTTTCAGGTTGTCAGTAGTCTCCCTTGCTTATCCCAAAAGAGAGCCCCGGGGATTGCCGATCGATCGACCATGAAATCCAAAAAAAAAAAATACATTGTCCAACACTTTTCACCAAATCCCTGTGAAAGCTTTTGCATTTCACTGTGGCCAGTCTAGCCTCGGAATTTCAACTGAATTCATTTGATATTTGGTGCTTGCTGTGCAAATAGAGCGCTACTCTCCATTTGGTATGCTAACGGTTTTTCCGGCGCAACAAATCACAAATACTTTGTCCCCAATATCCTGGTGCTTGTTTGACCGGTGAAACATGCGGTGAGATGCTAATGGTTCCTTCCAGATTAAACAGCGCCGATGTCACTGCCGTCACACCACTTTTATCTCAATTGCATGACTTTATAATGGGGATAGAATGATATGTGAGATATAGTAATGTAACAAATAGAAATCCGTTACCAGTTGTGTGTTGCATTGTGGGGTTATGTGTTTGTTGGAAGTTTTAAGGATTGGTACATGGAACTTACATGGCTCGTGCAGGCGTATGTACACAGCAGCTGCAGGTAGGCATGCGGGTGGCATTGACTCGTTTGTTTCAGATTCTAGTCCACTGTTTTCTGGTTTTGTGCATGAGGTTTATTCAGGTGGCAAAGTACTTTTCGGTTCACCGTTTCTGGAACATCCAGGAAAAATTACGAGAGAGTAATTATGATGGAAAATGCGACAGAGTTGCCGTAATTTTTCGGGATTTTTATTAATCCTTCAGAAATAATTGTAGTTATATGTCGAAAGGATATCAGAATCATTGTTGATAAGTTTATTATTCAAGTGATTGTAAATTGTTTATTTTGATTGTTCTTGGCTTCAGGGATTTTTATAGTCTCAGAAATTATGAATTTTTTAGTATGGAATTGTTTTAAATTAGTGAAGAAGACCGTGAATTTGATTGGATCGTTGAGGATACGGCTTCTTCAGACGCTCGGCATAATCAATGTCGACTCTCATTAACGCATTGAATTTTCCTGTTGAAACATTTGAACGAGCTGAAATAATTAGCGAAACATCCTGGTCGGTTCAATCAAACTGGTTATTCAGTTCTCCAATATCCGATGATCTTCAACTTCATTTATAATTAAGGCAGCCATGAACATGATCATCAATTCTTTGTAATATCAACCAACAATTTCCGCCAGTTATCAGCAATAATTGAACCAAAACAAGAAATATCTTGAAGTAGTCCCATACTCTTACGGTAAACTCAAAGATTATCGAAAATTGCAAAAAAAATTCCAGAGAACTCGATTACATCTGCAATCGTTATTTTTTGTCAATTTCATTATCCTTTTGGCTTTTTTATAAAAAAAATATTGAAAATTCTTGAAATAATCAAAATAGTTGCAATGAATTTTAAATTTTTAGAATTTTTGGAAATTAATGGAAAATTTCATGAAAATTGCTAATTGATAAAAATGTGACTGAAAGTTCAAGAAATTCCTAAAAGTATAATTGAATTTCCGCAAACACGAGACCCTTTAGGTGTCTCTCCCTGAATTGCCAAAAAATCTGGACAAACGATTCTCCAAATAAAACGGTACTCGTTACGCACCGCAGGTGGAGTCCAACGACCTGTCGTTATTATTCAACCCTCATTGACGATTCAAATTGGCACTGAGGAATGCCGAAGTCAAAGCCAAGTATAAACTCGATAAATTAAGTATTCAACTTTTGAAAGGGGTCCCACACTGATCGTTGAATAATTGGTGTGAATCATGAGCTGTCAGTTTGCTGAATGAGCCAATGAAGTGATTTTCAAGTAGATGGACGAGGAGAGACGAGAGCCACTCCAAGTTGACTCGTCACTCGTGATGACAACAAATACATCACCTCGTTATTCAATAATTCGATTATCGACGCGCGACCGCGCATCTCCGGCGAAACTATTTCAATGGAGAGTGGGGGATGGGTTGTTGCATTTAAAGGCATAATGCCAATGAATGAGAGATTAAGGTGATGATGAGGGAGGAGAAGCACCTTTCACTTTGCCTATTGTCCCAATAACACTTCTAGAATACACCAAGAAATACGCGATCCATTGTTCGATGACTGCGGGGAGTCGAGTGCTGCACACGCTGCAGGTTTTCGTGGTGCGACAGTTAACAGCGCTGGATGATGCAGCAAACATTCACCGAAACTTCTCAATGGAGTTATTATATTAACAAACTTGGTCTAGATGCTGGCGATAAAGTGGTTGTCTGCTGGTCGTTGGATCAATAGAAGGAATGAAATTGCAATGATTCGATTGTGGTTTTATTTGGATTGGATTATTGTCTTGTAGACAATCAGCAGTTTGTGGATGGTGTGCCAGTGGGGAAAAATAAACAGCATGGATTTTAAAACATTGAAAAACAGTGGATTTTTATTCGTCAGTCATAATTTATATTTCAGTTATCTCTTTGAACACAGAATTTGTTTTTTAAGTTTTTCTTCTCAAGAAAAACAAGATATTTTTTGCATAAATGAAGTGAACAGTGGAATAGAAAAAAGTCATTTATTTTTGCTTGAAACACCTGTGTTTCGATTTGAAATATAAAACGATTAATTTACAGGCTGAATACGACAATCCCCGCATGCACGGATATGTATATAATATTTGTTAACAATCGTTTTGGGGAGTCGACGCACTCGGGCAACAGAGACTGTCGAATTCTATTGAGGACTTCGTTAAAAAAAAAAACATAATGGTTTTGCATATGTTTGCGGAAGAAATTGACGATTCGACGGAGTAATTGGTTTTCACTGGATGGAAAAATAATTCAACTGTGTTGAAGTTCAATTAAAATTGTTCTCTGTCATTCCATCAGTGTAAAAAATTCAACGAACAATTGTCCAAACAGAGTTATTTAATAACCTTTTTTTTTTTCTTACTAAAGTCCTCAATTCTCGTAATATCAGAATAAATAAAAAATAAATCCTATTTTACAGTTTCACATTTGACATTTCGTTTTTTCATTGAATTTTGATAAAATTTCCCCTCCCCCCTTCTGACGTTAATTAAAATTCAATAAACAATTTAAAATAAAAAATAATTAGAGAGTGATATCACGACGGGTTTTAAATTGAAACCCTCTTTAAGAAGCTATACACTTGTAAATAGCGCCCCATAAGTACGTCTCTGTCATTTGAATTTAACATGTTAATGTGACAGTTTTATTATCTCACAGAATAACTTCTCACAATTGTCACAAACGCCTTTTACATTTTATCTCTAACTTTCATTACCCTCAAGCTGGCATCTTTAGACACCAGTTATGTACGATGATAACATAAACTCGTTGTTCACGATTCAATCGTAAACCCTGACATTAAGTAGCTCATGCACAATTTGAGATTATTAATAATGAGGCGTTGAATAAAAATCAAAAAGGAAATGAGTAACGCGAGACTCAAGTGTTCTTCAAATTTTTTTGCAGCACTATTTACATTTGAATTTAATCTATCTATCGGCTAACCCATCAAATTTACAAAAATTGAAACAAATATATATATATATTTATCTCCTCACTGGCAAATTCCACTCTCATTCACTTTCTTCTCAAAAATCTTTCAAACTCTCCGAACATATCATTGCAACGCACTCATTCTCACCACACAATTTTCATTTTTATATTTGCTCTATATACAGACTTTCGAGTGACGCGCACATTTATTTAAAACATTCAAAATTGTCAATTCTCCGTTAGTGAATATTCGGCACCGTGACTATTTACACTCCACACACGTATTGCACTGTGCAGTGACTCTTAATGGAACCTTATGCGTATGGATATATTCATTTATTTTATTCGTGTAGATGATTTATGTACTGTCCACTGATTGTCAACATCTCACTCACTCCCGAATAATAAATTACCAATTGATCGATAATTACACAGTTCGGGTATGCCAAAGGGTCACTAGTATGGAATAACATAACCAGTCTATGATGAATAATTGATTCATATGTGAACAGCAACACTGCGCGCACCACTAGTTTGATTATTGTGTTGCCGTCGGACAGGTGGTGGCTGTCTCCTCTGATTGTTGGTTCTCTGGTTGTTTGGCACATCGGGCAGGGCAAATCTCAATTTCTCCCAAAATAGTTTATCACCCCATTGTAAATATGTGTTTGTCTTGAGATACAGTCTTATATCTGGATCTAAATCCCTCTGGGGTACATCCCCAACGAGTACCAGTATGAGTCTACGCCGCCTGTCACGGAGGACTTGATGATGCGCTGATTTGAAATCAAAGCGACACCACTCGGACTTGATGAAATTTTCCGAGAGAACCATAATAGTTCTCCTCGATGATTCAACAGCTTGAACGATGGTATCAGCTATGAAACTCCCCACCGGGAAGTCACGATAATGTAGACACAATTTGTAGGAGGGATTTCCCATTTCTAGTACTGGAGCCAATTCTTCAGCGACAAATGCCTCGTCCTTGGAGCTGTAGCTGACGAAAGCGTCGAACTGCTTGTCTCGATCCTCCCTGTCGAACTCGGTGCTGCGGTAGAATATTCTCACCCCGAATCGCGAGTGAAACCACACGCGAAACTCCTGTCTGAATATGAATATGAGCATTCCAAGGAGAACAATAACGAGAAATACAGCCAGTGTAGAGACAAGGAGAGGCAAATAATCCTGGAGGGCTTGTCTCTCGATAATGGTCTTGGTTAGATTGCCCTGGATACCGTTGTCAATACTAGCAAGTCCTGTGCACATCGAACTGTCATTGGATGCTCCCTCGATCACGGGAAATCCAAACTCGTTGTCCCTGAAGACCTCCTCGCCGTACGCCTCTAACTCGGTGACATTCAACACGCACCTGAGCTCCGATACATCGACAACACGGTTTCTTGCCGCGAGTATCCATTCCCGATAAACCTCAAGATAGTCGCACTCGCATGACCACGGATTCCGCGAGAGACTCACTTCGACAGACATTGGTAGGGACCAGACCGCCAAGGTCGTAAGGCGATTGCCCTGCAACCGTAGAACCTTCAAAGATCTCAGGGGTGAGAATGTGTTGTTGGCGATTGCTGAGATCTCATTGCCCTGCAGATGAAGGGCCCGAAGATTGTCAAGACCCTCGAATTCGTGTCCACGCAGTTCGTGAATTCTGTTGTCCTGGAGATGAAGATCCTGAAGATCCCTGAGGCCATTGAACGATCGATTCTGAACAATTTCAATGTTTGAGGCATTGAGATAGAGAACTCTCAATTTTTTACGACCGATGAATGCATGACTGGAGATGATTCTCAGGTCATTGCCATCGAGATAGAGTCTTGTTGCATCCATGGGTATCTGCTCGGGTAGTCGGTTGACGTGACCACCGGCAGAACAATCCACGACATTGGCCGACCACGATTGGTCGTGGTAACAGGTGCAATTATTCGGACATGTCATTTCACAATCGCAAGCATCAAAGTCACAACAATGACACAGTGCAAAGCAGTGTGACTCATACTTGCAAAGAAATTGTGAGTGCGATGCCTCTACAAGGGGCACGTACATGCGTTCACGGTCGTACAAGAGTTTACAGTATATGCTCTCAAGATCCATCACTTGTGGATGTATGCGCGACTGGTTTTGCCTGTTGACTCGCTGCAGCCATTCCATGGTGCAGTCGCACAAATAATGGTTGTCGCCAATGTAGAATTCAGGAAGCGGTTTGTCCGGTGGTACAGCACTTATACGCAACGCATATGTCTCAAGATTCTGTATTCTATTACCCTTGAGATCGACTCGAGTGAGATTTGGCTTTTTGAAAAATGCGTAACTTTGCACCTTGGATATGAGATTGTCGTTGAGAAAGAGTACTTCGACACTCATGGGTATTGCATTTCCCGTTATCTCGGTCAATTTGTTCTCACTGGCATCGAATGTACTTAACTGAAGTTGCGTCTCGATCTCAAAGTAATTGCCAAGTTCGCTTATCTCATTTGCGTGTATATCCAGCCACTGTAATCCCGTTGGTATCATAGCATAATCAAACCACTTGAGTTTATTATCACTAACATTTAACCACACTAGATTCGGTAGATTGGCAAACAGTCCAGTTATGTCAGTCAATTGATTGCCATCCAATCGAATGGCACGGAGATTAGTGTTGTCATCAAATGCACCAGGCTCGATATATTGTATCCGGTTACGCGACAGATTGAGTATCTTGAGCTCTTTAATCTTCTCGAAGATGCCTTTAGTGAGATTGCCAATGTGATTTTCCGTGAGCCGGAGGCCGTACAACTGTGACACGTGGTCGAAGGTACCAGTGGGTATCTCCGAAATGAGGTTTTCACCAAGATCGAGGGTGCGCAACAGAGGCGTGGCTTTCAGTGCATCCGGCACCGCTGTCAGTTGGTTACCGTTAAGATGCAGGTCCTGAAGAGACGAGGCGTTTCGTAACGAGCTTGGATGAAGTGCACTGAGTCTGTTATTATCCAGCGAGAGCAGGCTCAGCACGTACAAGCCGCTCAGAGTGGTCGCGTCGATAACCGTCAACTGATTATCGCTCAGTACGAGAGTGTGCAAATTGTAGAGCGCAGCAAATGTATTCTCAGAGAGACTCTCAATAAGATTCTCCTCAAGACGTAGAATCTGCAGGCTGTAAAGATCCCGGAAAACCGCTGGCTCAAGTCTGCTTATTCTGTTGCTAGACAAATCGAGCACCACTAGTCTAATGAGACCAGTAAATGTCGCTGCGTTTACCCACTCAGTCGTTAATTCGTTCATACTCAAATCAAGCACCAGCAGTTGGGTGAGATCGTTGAATAATCCAGGTGGTAACACGTTCAACGAGTTGTTCTGCAGGTGAATTTCTTTGATGTTTCGCGCATCGTTGAACAACTCTGGTGGTAAACTCGACAGACGATTGTCCGTGAGTTTAAGTACAACCAACGAGGAAAGACTCTCGAAGGCACGATCGGCCATAAAGCTAATGGCGTTACTCCGAAGATCGAGACTTTGTAACCGAGCGAGACCGGAAAATGCCGCTGTCGGCAGGCTCTCGATGCTGTTATTACTCAGATCCAATTCCCGTAGATTACTTCCACAGCGTCCAGCACCAGCGCCAAAATGAAAATTCGATAACTCTCGGAGGCGATTTTTAGTCAAGTTGAGCACCTCTAGATTGTGCAGCGAGCACAGACTACCCTCCGGCAAATTCCACATATTATTTTCTCCAAGGTCCAGTCTCTCAAGCTTTGAGAGCTCCTCGGTAAAAGCCCTAGTCGATACATCCAAAGCCATTGGCGACCAATCTCTATTATGAGTACGAACAGTGAGATTCCGTAGCTCTTTGAGGCCCTTAAACGCATCATCGGACAAATTTCCAATCTTGCAGTACTCGATGACAAGTTCTCTCAGTTCAACCAGTGGCCTAAAACTACCAGCGCTCAGTGAACTCTGATATAAAAGACCGTCACTGCACTCCAACCTTAGTCTGACAGTGTGCTGTGGCTGTATAACACTGAAATTGGTATTTTCAAGTTCACTATTAATAGTCCGTAGTCGACAAACGAGTGAGACATCGTCCTCACTGTCTCCCGTTGCCACCCATTTGCACTCGTCCGGTGCTTTGTACCTCAGTGCTTTGCTCAGTGAGGCACCAAGCGAGCCGAATATTGTACCGAGTAGGATTGCCAGAAAAGCAGGATTCCCCTGCATCTTTACATGAAAACCCACTCAGCTGGCTCTTATTATTCCATGAAACACCAATTCCCTCCTAAATTACCCTCAAACACCATAAATTCCATCTAGAACCCCATATGATAATCAGCCTTAACCCACCGACATTGTCACTCCAACCACCTCAACCCTCAACATCACTCATTTATTCCAAACAGCTAAAGATTGACTCTTCAATTAACACCAGCACAGAATCACGTTATATCCAGAATAATTCCATCTCGATTGCTCACAGCACAAGTTAAGTATCCAGTGAAGGGTTAAGAGGGGGGGGAGGGGACTGGTTGAGACCCGTTATACTAACTACAGCTATAAAACGAAAGGTAAAGCCACGGTGCCCGAAGAGCACGATCGAGCAAGGATCCAGCAAGATCCACTGTTCTTCGAGGACTGGTTGGTAGATGGTGGCGGTGTTAGCTGGGCCCCTCGTACCACCGCCACTCTCCCTCACCCCTCCCCACAACCATCGCTCTTCTCCCCGCCATAGTTTTCCCCCACCCCCCCATACCACCTCTCTTTCCTGGGCCCCAACCACTTGGCGAGGCCTATAAAAACAAGACAGGTACACTCGGCATGGGCCCTTACAGTGGCTCTTGAGTACTTGCCTTCTCTCCTCATTCTCAGTCCCTTCGTCAAGCCCATCTAACCTCACTCGTACATTTTCACATTTACTTCATCAATTGTATTGTTATGTTTTATATAGCCATTGTCGGTACACTAGTCTCAGTAGGATCAATGTGAAGTACACACCAAGGTATTCACCACCGTTGAATTTACCTCGAATTCTCCGTAAGGCGTGAAGATACCGTGATGAATCCCGTAATGACATCTTCCCAATGAGTGAACACGCCAGTATTTCAAGCCTTCAAATGAACCGGCGTGTGCTGTTGACAATGGGTTAAGTTTTCTTCTTAACGTAACGGTATTGCTGAAGCCAACGCCTCCTTGTCTTTCTTTTCTATTCCTCTCTTCATCACCACAAAAAGCCATTTCAAACGCAGTTCACTCGGTTTCTACGTGAGCCTCCACAAAAGATTGATAAAGGGACACCTTACCCAACTGTCACGTAGTGTGGCCATTCATTCCCATTTCTAAACACCGCTCGTTACTCACCCACTACTTCTGTCTCTACCCGCACTCTATACAGCTACAACCGGCTTGTTTCATATCGTCTACGAGGTGCACCTTCAATTCACCACATGTCATACAAAGTCTTTCGCCATTTTCCTCCCTTTTCTTCCTCGCTGATTCAGGGGTGCGAATCTTCATGGCTCGGTGATGGATAATAAACATATTTGACGTGGGGTGTGAAACAATCTTGCGGGTTTACCACTTTGGGGTTCATCACTTTGGGGGAGAATCGTTAAGTGGTCCCCCATGGTGCCGACTACCCCCTGTCAAGAGGCCCTCTTCGTCGGCATTCACTGATTCTAAACATATCCCGTCAGGGGTTTCACCTTTTTTTCTATTTTTTTTTTTTTTTACCACTTGTATAATTCAGCATTCGATTATGGCATTCATGGGGGACTACTCAGAAGTATCGGATTCTTATGATGTCGTTTAATTCAATTTAAAGGGACAATTAGCAATTTTCACAATTCACTTGAAATTTCAATGATTACTCTGTATTTAAGGAGTATTCAATATTTTTCAGAGCGGATACCAAAATATTTATGATATATTCAGACGTGATATATTTTAAGGTATATTGATATGTTAAATTTCAATTTTCGAATAATTAATTAATTTGAAATGTTATTAAAACGAAATCTTAATTAAAGCGAAATCTTATTTGGAGTGAATTGAAATTGTGGGCATTTACGGCCTTCGGTTATTAATCAGTCACCGTGAAAAAAAAAATTCAATGAAAATTTTTAAACGGAATACCAAACTACCCATGAAATTTCAATTCTCTAGTATATAGGGCAGAACAGTTGAGTGCATTTGGCCCTTCCGGAGTTCTATCTTCAAATCTATTTTTTAGTGGCTCTTATTGAGAAATTTATGGGATTTTTTATGTTTCTGTTTCAGGTAAGTTATCAATGCGGGAATGGCCGAGCCACGAAAGATATGAAAGCATTTAAGGTAGATGATTGATATTTCCGATAAAGCCGAGGGTCTAGTATGCCCCATCCAAAATAACCGAAACCCATGAAATACCCTTTTTTTTTTCAAGCAGCGCATGATCCCACGGGAATATTTCTCCATCACTGGAGTGATTCATTTATTCCCAAGTTCATTAACTATTAACGAACGGTTGAGTTAAATATGACCAAATAAATATTCGTTTATACATAACGAATGATGATCGAAAGGCGAGAGTGAAAACAAATAAGACTCGTCAAACATCAAATATTTCTCAGCACTCAAAAAAAATGGGACTGAATCGGCCCGACAATTTGGACTCATTTATTTCTCGTGAAATATTAATAATTCAATATAAAAATTTATTAATATTCCCACCGAATCTATTAGCAAACAATGACAAATTTTCTATAGATCCACCTGTTCTGCAACTCAAATGACCAACTTCCATCTTTTCCTTCTTTTCCCCGTGCACTCACATCTTTCCATAACGAGCCCCGACGTTATCCCATTCTTCTCACCCCTCATTTGTCATCCTCATCTTATTCAAATGAGCCCCAAGATTTACTCACCCTGCACTTTTCATTATCAACCACGAACCAGCGGTGACCCCCATCTCACAATCCGTAACGAGTAAAATTATCAGTTTACGAATGGGTTAACACGTTCGGGACTATTCAGTGACACGATGAGCCTGTCGTTACCATCTCACCAGTCCCTCATGCCTTATCACACGATACCACACACGTATCCCCTAATTACAAAAAAAAAAACAGGGAAAAAGAAAACGTCGAAAGCGACAATTTAACGAGCATCCGACATGCAAATTGTAGCGTATAATTTTCTCGATATGTTGAAAAGATACAATTTCACACGTTATTCATCTCCGAAGATAGATAGAGTCACGCGTTGGAGTATAATGGCGACAGCAGGGAGTCGGATAAATAAAAAAGCTGAGGTATGTATCAATGTTCTTGCTCCGGTGATACGCCTGACCGACACCGTGTCATCTACTTGTACGTACAGGAGTTGAACTTGAAGGATGGGGAAATAGGTGGTATAAAAGTAAGGAGAGTTGTCCACTGAGGCCCCCCGAGAATGAGAGAGCCTGATTGCACGACAGTCGTTCATAATTACGCATCAAGCACAAGGGCCTAAGTACACGCGATAGCGACAAGGGATGCATTCCCCGTCCAGGCGTGCGTTCCGTCGGTTACCACTAATGTCAGGGTTTTATGAAAATGAAAATAAAAAACCTTCTAGGCAACCCAACAGAATCCCAGTGGTGAAACAGAAGGGGGAGGAGGGTAAGGGCGCCTAAGGTTGGAAATAAGGTAGGGTTGGCAGTACTGCCAGCCGCCGTGCCGCATTCCACCGACTGTTTGAATCCGGACGTTGCATTCGTCGGCTCCCCTGTCCCTTCTTTCTCTCTTTATCGCTGTTTGCCATCCTCCCTCTTCCATCTCCTTCAGCAAATCCCATGGAGGCCCCACTGGCATTCGATGGGGCCCCGCAGAAGCTCGCGTGATGCCCAATGGCTCTTCGTGGCTTGCGAGATTTTCAGTTTAATGCGTGTTAAACTTCGTGAAAAATACTCGCTAACAAAGCAATGAGATTGAGCCGTGGTGGGATTTCACTTACTACACACCTGAATCCCTGAATCCCTGAATCCCTGAAATCCCTGCTACAATATTAGCTATCACATGAGTTATCCCTGAATGCTACCAAATTACGGTGGAACATGTTTCACCACATGTTGTCCCTCTGTTTTGTCTTTGGGAGGAAATAAAAGGAATAAGCCAATTGCCGGGACTTTGGGCTTGATGCTCCGAGCGGGCAATTAAATAATTTGTAAAAAAATAGTAAATAAGATAAAAGAAATAATTTTCATAGTGGAATTCGGGGTATCTGCTGGGGACCCAATCAAGCCCTTGGTTGCGGAGGAAGGGAGAGGCTCGTTGGGTTCGGTATTCGTGTTACGTCAGCAACGATAACTGGCAGTGCCTGGGACTTGATAGGTCCAAAATGGATGGTCTGCGGCGGGCCGCGGGCACGCGAGAAAAGCGGCCGTACCTTTTTTGCTCCTAGCTTGATGATAAATCAAACGGCCGGCGCCGGATCAAACAAACCCACCAGCGTGATAGGGGGAGACAGGCCAACACAACTTCTCGTACCAATCAAATTTTTCGTCGATAAGAAATTTCAAATCTGTTCACTCTCGTATGGCTGTTACTCGGATAGGGTGAGCGGTGCAAAAAAAAAAAAAAAAAAAAAACAAATCCATTGAGAAAATTGGGATCGAGCTCGGATGGTGCGATTAGGAGGTTCAACTTCCTTATGTTTATTTGGTGTTAGGTAAGAGTGTGTTGGTTAGTTTAAAGTCTGATTTGCGAGGCTGAAAAAGGTACCGGCGTTGAGGGCTATTAACCCACCGGGGAATTGCGAATGTTTACCTGACATGGGAAGGACCCAAGATGCATGAACGAGATCAGGCTTACCTGATTCAGTGTGAATTCATGCGCTGGGCGCTGTTACATCAGTCCTGATAACAAATGGTGCGATCATCGGTGCGGAGAAGGGGAGATAGATCGAAAGCAGGTCTTGGCACAGGATTTTCAGAGGAACTTGAAGGAGACAACCGGCGGTCAGTGATCGCAGTGGCTCCCCTTTCCCTAACTCTTACATTCAATCGTTACATCTTGCTTTCATCCACTAAAAGTATATCCAGGGGTTTTGGCCAGTGACGAGGCCAAACCCATCCACTCAGCTCTTCAAACTCTTCTAGGGCTTGATTGATAACTCCAGCATTGCGTAATCTGGAATTTACAGAGTCATTGAGCCGATTGATTGGACGAGGACTGGAAATGGAGATGAGGCGATTATTGCCTCTTAAGGTTTGTTCAATCAATCTCGTTTCTTCATTTTCCTCTTCAGGTACGTTTTAACCGTTCGATTTTTTTTCTCCCCCATTTCTTTTAATGGGTAGTTGAGGAGAGGCGTTGGTAAGATCCAACTCTTTGCTGCTCAATTTACTCATTTCACAGTTGAATATCGAGAAATCATGGCAACATTAGCTGAACTACGGGGTTTCTCGAACTGTTAAACTCATCTTCGTTTTTATTATTCACTATCTCGATCCTCACTCTCACTGACTCCACTACCTTCCCTGTTTACATCGTGATCTCCTGTGAAAGTGAAGAAGCAAAACTATCCCTCGAAATGTTTAGCCGGTCTCTTATTGATGATAACTTTCTCTCACGCTCCACGAAAATCACGAAGTCATAGAG